GTGCTTATTTCTAAGCACAGTATACCCACTACAATAATATAGACTACACCATAAGTTCAGTTCATTGGCCCGGTCCACGCATAGGTATTTATATGTACGTATATAAATATAAATATATTCTTCTATATATTCTTCTAATAGCAGTCTTTCCCCCATAATAAGTGTCTCTGATAACCTGTAGGCTGATCTAAATGGGCCACTGCAGAGATTCCAGGATTAAGGATAAACTATTGATTCCATGCAGACAGATTCCATGTTCAAAGATTTCTCAAAATCTTTACTCCTATTGCTCTGTGAAATAAGATAGAGAAATATTAAATGTTGCCTATTATTGTGCAATGAGTAAATTGAGATTGCATAAAACAAATGCCAACTTGGATGCAAACATGTTTTCTCCTCTTTCAACCCACAGGACATATTTACTCCAAGCAAATATTGCATTTTCTTCAAAGGATATCTGTGTAAGACTAACTTCCCGCAATAATAAATGTACTGTAGATGCATTTATTTTCAAGGTCTATTTGGGGTACCAAAAAGAGAGAAGGGTATTGTTTTTTGAAAATGAATTGCCTTTGATTTTTTTAATGTTATACCCAAATCTCATTATTTGTTCAGTCAGACCGAGTTAATACTATAGACAAGAGCTAATGATAAACCTGGCAGCCAAGAGACAATTCCTCATATTGCCCAAGTGAATGCCTCCCTCCACACTGGCACGTCAGTTTCTAACGTTTGCAGGGTTCTCAGAAGGTTAGGCTTAGTTGGTGAACAGATGAGACTACATAAGCATTGTGAAGCTATCACCTAAAGCTATTACTCTCAGCAGTGGATTTTTGCTCTTGTTTCGATTGTAGTTTTTTTTTTCTTTCCCGCTCCATCCTCTAAGGTTGTTCATCCCTGTTGATATAATAAAGGATGGCTCGTGTGTTAGCATTGAAAATATGAAAATAAAATATAACTTCAAGGAGGGAACGGCCTGGGCCATATTTCTTAAAGCAATCAAAGCTCACATCACGATTCAGAGATAACTTTGCCAGCTTCATAGCATGCTGTACTTATCTGAAATCTCAAGGGATTGCATTGTTATTATTGCTGATACATCTTTGAAATTGACATATAATGCTATATTTCTCATAATGGATTAAAATGTTTTTGTTTATTTATTTTTTATTACATTCAACCTTGTGTGCTAAGCTGGTTGCCTTAGCAGGATATGTGGTTCAAGGGTTGTTGTATGATGGACCCTTCCATGTGACCTCGGTGGGTCTAACTTAACAGATTGAATGGTACTGGGAGATGCTTCTCTGCACTTAATTTCCAATTAACAGTACTTCTGTGCTGGCCCTATGACTATTTTGAGATTGTGTCTGTCTGCCCTGCTGTTGCCTTTAGGAGCCACCTTTTAATGGTTTGTAATCTTTGGAAATGCTCTTTCTAACTCTTCTAGTAACTCTGCACCTCCAGGAGAACAGTGTATGAAGAAAATGTAAACATGTTTTGATTAAATTCTCATCAATGGTTAAAAGTATAATGATTTGTTAAAGTTACAGTATCATGGATATCTGGATTTTGTAATTTTCCCAATAGTACTTCAAATTTTCAGTCGAAGTCTGCTCTCTTCTCAATGTTACAGACTGCTGCTTTAAGGGTGGAACGGTTCACAAAATCCAAGGTTCGGTTCGATTCACGGTTGCGTGGTCACGGTTTTCGGTTCGGTTCGATTCGGTATATGTTGATTGTTACACCAAGCAACTAAACATATCAGACACAGAGTCATCGACTGACCTGTTGAGGTTCTTTTGATTACTTTATCATCTGACAGACAACTCTGTGATGTGGTTTATTCACATTAAAGAATTTACCTGTTTTCTCATCATTAAAGAAGACTTTTAATGCAAAGAGGAAATCTTTGCTGCTTGGCTTGTCTCTTTACATCTGAATCACCAAGGATATTGTGCGATAACAGGTCTGAACAGGGTGGGTCTAAATGGATGCCACCATATCATTTGGAAAACTTAAAAAAACGTATTAAATATTTTTTCCTTCAAACAAATGTTCACCCATTTATTTCTGTATTTATTTACAAAAAAGTTATATTATTTTCAGTAAAAAAAACAAAACAATTTTGTCATTAAATAAAAGAGATATTAGCTCTAGCTAAGAAAGTGGAGATGTAAGGAGACCCACTCAGGACTTTCTGTTTCCTAATTAGGCCAGTTCTTGGTGTCAGCACTGTTATATTTGAGGTCATCATACTACAGGGTCCAGTTTAGCTTCAGCATGAATGGTCACACATTTTCTTTAGATACTCTCTGATACACAGTAGACATGGTGGATTATTATGTTGTTGAGCTGCTGCAACAGGTGCCTCCAAACCATGAAACTTCCTGTTTAATGCTTCAAAGTTTGAAAGAGGCTTTGTTAAACTTGATTGCTAATGTAGGTTTATACCAAACATTTCCTCTGTTTTAGTGTTGAAATGTCACAAATTTAGACACAGCTCAGTTTGAAGAACATTATTTCAGAGATCCTCTTAATAATCAATGTGTTTATCTAGCAAACTTGACGGATTTGGCATTTTGGTACAGTTAAAGGTAAATATTTATAAGATCCTGGTGTAGGTCCTCAAATGAAGACATTTTAGGATTTTATACAAGTCCTTTAGCATATAGCATTTTCTGTTTTCAGGAGAAACTTGCTTGGATGACGTGAGCACACACTTGGAGGCTGACTGTCCAGTGTCGTATATATTTACTGTAACCAGTGACTGACTTTACAATCTTTTGAAATCTCATTAAAACCCTTATTAGATTTAAATGATGCCAAAATATTATCTCTATAGGCCTCAGATAGAACCATTCATTTTCTTCTGCTTTATCCGGGGTCGGGTCACGATGGCAGTAGTCTAAGCAGAGATGCCCAGATTTCAGGATCAACACTCACCTTCTCCAGCTGCTCTGGGGGGACCCCAAAGTGACATCTGGCCAGCTCATATACTCCCTCCAGTGGGTCCTGGGCCTTCCACGAGGCCTCCTCTTAATATGACATACCTGGAACACTTCCCGAAGGAGGCAACCAGGAGGCATCCGGAACAGATGCCTGTGCCACCTCAGCTTGCTCCTTTTGATGTGGAGTCCGGATTTATGCTGCCAATGCTGCACCAATCCGTCTATCGATCTCCCACTCCATCCATCCCTCACTCGTGAACAAGACCCTGAGATACGTGAACTCCTCCATTTGAGACAAGGACTCTCCACCGACCTGAAGAGGGGAGTCCACCTTTCTCAGGTGGAGAACCATGGCTTCAGATCTGGAGGTGCTGGTCCTCAACCCGGCCGCTTCACAGTCGGCTGCAAACCACCCCAGTGCATGCTGAAGATCCTGGTTTGATGAGGCCAACAGGACAACATCATCTGCAAACTGCAGAAATGATATCCTGAGCTTCCACAACCGGACACCCTCCGTTCTCTGGCTGCACCTAGAAATTCTGTCCAAAGGGCAGCCCTGTCGGAGGCCAACATGCACTGGGAGCAGGTCTGACCTACTGCCGGCAATGCAAACGTAGCTCCTACTGCGGTCATACAGAGAATGGACAGTACTTAACAGAGGGCCCCACACCCCATACTCCCTGAGTAACTCTCAAAGGCACCACAAGGGACACGTTCGAACGCCTTCTCCAGATCGACAAAACACATGTGGACTGGTTGGGTGAACTTCCACGAACCCTTGAGCACTCGATGAAGGGTATAGAGCTGGTCCGGTGTGCCTGGACCGGGACAAAAACCGCATTGTTCCTCCTGGATCCGAGGTTCAACTATCAGCTGGATCCTTTCCAGCACTCTGGAGTAGACCTTACCACGGAAGCTTAGGGATTGCCACCACGACAAGAACCAGAGACGTTACGGCCACAGCTACGAATGGCCGCATGGACAATGGAGGAGGAGAACATGGACCACTCCGACTCCATGTCTCCAACCTCCCATGGCATCTGGTAAGAACTCGTCCGGAGGTGGGAGTTAAAGACTGCACTAACAGAGGGATCCACCAGAAGTTCCCAACAGACATGCTTAAGCCTGCCAGGTCTGACTGGCTTCCTACCCTGCCAGCAGATCCCGCTCACCACCAGGTGGTGATCGGTTGATAGCTCAGCCCCTCTCTTCACCTGAGTGTCCGAGATAGATCAAATGACACAATTACAAAGCCGATCATCGACCTCCGGCCTAGGTTGTCCTGGTGCCACATGCACTTATGGACATCCTTCTGCTCAAACATGGTGTTCGTTATGGACAAACTGTGATTAGCACAGAAGTCCAATACCAGAACACCACTCGGATTCAGATAGGGGAGGCCATTCCTACCGATCACCCCTGTCCAGGTCTCACTGTCGCTGCCCACGTGGGCGTTGAAGTCCCCCACTGGAACAATGGATAGATGTTTCAGATAGATGTTGAGTAATAATGTCTATTACACAATCGAACCGTTTAAATTTGGAAATACATTTAAAAAGCCCTGTTTTTATGAGTTGTTTTTTCAGTATTTCTATGTGAATCTTTCAAAGATAATTGAGAAACAAAAAGGCTGTCTTAGGGTCTTCCTTTTTAATCAGGAGTACATATTGATATTTCTCAAAACAAGGAATGAAACATGTACAACTCTTTCTGACATAATTTTTTTTCATTGAGGCATTTTTTTTTACAGAATTTAAGTTCCTAATTTTCCTGTGGCAGATAGTATCAGTTAATTGTTACCGTTTTTGGTCCTGATCTTTATTTATAGAATAGCAATTTGTTCCATCAAGCAACATTAAGGGATAATGTTGCTAGGAGACCCGAACATGAAGACGTTTATCCCGAAGTCATCCAGCTGCCCACGTGCTCTGAGTTTTGTACGTGTATAGGAGCACACCTCCCCTGTCTATTGCGCCTGTGTGTCCTTGCTCTTGCTCATTCTATAAAAGCCGCCAGCATCGGGTTCACTCACTACACTCTCTGTGATTTTCACTGAAGCACAAACAAAGGAAAATCAACTAAGCTCTGCTGGGAGGACAAAAAGCTGATAATGCTTGGGGTTGTTTCCTTTTTTAAGCACAGTTTGTCAGGACCGAAGAACAAACCTTAACTCCTACACTGATAAGCATCTTTACCATCTCTGATTCATCAAGTTGCTCTTTTTCTTTTTTTTTTTCAAAGTATGTGGAAGCGCTGAAAGGTTTGGTTCACTCTGAAAGGAAGGGATATGAAACGAGGAGAGGTTTAAAAAAGCTGTGGACTCTTGCTTGTGAAAAAGCTCAGAGAAAACCTCTCTCTGCCTGTCTGCACTTGGATTCTTGTTTGGTGGATGGCAGATCTCACTAGACCGTGACCCAGCATGCTTTAAGTCATGCATTGGTGACATAACTATGTCAGCTGGCTCTGGAAACGCTCCTTTTTCCCCCCGCAAAAATATCGATTCTGTCACTATGTTTGCAATTTGAGTTTGAAAGAAATTTGTTTTTTTGTAGTTTTTATTTTTCTAATTTGGGAGTTTAGAACTTTTTGCAGACAGATATTATACGTATTCTATTACATTTTCTCTTGAATTTCCAAATTTTGCTGCAATCTCAAACCTTTCACAATCACAGTTTTTCAAGTTTCTTATTGGATTCTCCTTGTTTTTCTCGACCTTCGTTCTCAGCCCCAGAGGAAAGTGGACATAAAGCAAGCATATTGCAACACAAATATTCTCATAATCCACAACCTGCCCTCCTCAGTATCTTTTTCATCTTCCCTCGCTGCAGCCACCCTTCTTTCTAACACAATGTTTGAGGAGCCATGGAACTCCACAGATCAGGTCGGGCTCAATGGATCAGAAGCAAACGCATCTCTCGTAAGACGCTCATATGACATAGATGAGGAGGGGAACCAGCATCCATTTCTCACAGACGCCTGGCTGGTTCCGCTGTTCTTCTCTCTCATTATGCTGGTTGGACTAGTGGGCAACTCTCTTGTTATTTATGTTATTTCTAAACACAGGCAGATGAGAACTGCCACCAACTTCTACATAGGTAAGCTTAAACTATATTTATTATTTTTAGACAGTGAAAAATGTGACAGAAATACATGAGGACATGAGAGTGAGATACCATGACTTTCTAAAATGTGTCAATAAAATAATCAGCCAATAAGTAAAGCAACAATTAGACTGACAGGGCTCTTCATCCCTTATTTCACTCTGCTAGTAGTAGAGGAAAAGAGTGACAAAGAATTTAAGAAGTGATGTTTGCACAATAATTTCTGCAAAAGCAGTGTAGCTTTCAAATCAAACGAAATGTTGCTTTTTTTCATTCATTTGGCAAGTGGAAAGATTAGGCAGGCCAGTCCATGTATTTTATATCAGAATGTGGTTCTGTGTGATATTACTGGAAATTGCACGCACATCCCTGAAAAAAACATGTTTACAGCAGCATATTTTAAGAGCCCAATGTTTTATTCATGGTGTATCACAAACAGTGTTGCCATAGTTACTTTGAAACAGTAATCCGACTACTGACTACTTCTTTAAAAAGTAACTTAGTTAAGTTACTGATTACTTGCTTTTAAAAGTAACTAAATGAGATTACTTTTAGTTACTTTCAGCAGATCCCCGGCCCAGCCCTATAACATGAAAATGACCACCAGTTCTGCCAATACTCACTTTATTGACTCCAACATTTGCAAACATTTTCTGGAAATAGGCTTACTTGTTTTTTAAATGAAGAATAAATAAAAGACAGTCTTTCTTGACTTTACTTGAAATATCTTTTTCAAAAAACTCTTACAAATAAAAGTAGTACATAGGCTTAATATCCCCCCCTCCTTCAGGATAAATGAATGAACATGTAGGCCTATATTGAACATCACATTGAACCTGTAGTTGTCTAACATTAGAGCAGCAAAAATTGGTTTTAGGGAAATAAAACCATATTAAAAAAAATCAAAATACTCTTCACTATATTTAACTGAAATACTTATTACAAATAAAACGGTTTTGTTGACTCCCTTAAATCCAACTTAAATACTTCCTATAAAAAATAAAGTAGCTTTTCTTGGCTCAATTTGACATAAACACTTCTTTAAACAAAAACAAAATACAATAGACATTCTTGACTCCATGCATTTAACTCTGATTGAATTTATCTGTATGAATTACTGTAACACTGAAGTTATAGTTAACATTTTAATGAACCTGTAGTTGTCTAACATTAGAGCAGCAAAAATTGGTTTTAGGGAAATAAAACCATATAAAAAAAAATCAAAATACTCTTCACTATATTTAACTGAAATACTTATTACAAATAAAACGGTTTTGTTGACTCCCTTAAATCCAACTTAAATACTTCCTATAAAAAATAAAGTAGCTTTTCTTGGCTCAATTTGACATAAACACTTCTTTAAACAAAAACAAAATACAATAGACATTCTTGACTCCATGCATTTAACTCTGATTGAATTTATCTGTATGAATTACTGTAACACTGAAGTTATAGTTAACATTTTAATGAACCTGTAGTTGTCCCACATTAGAACAGCAAGGAGTTTTACAAAAAAAATCAAACCTGTATCTGTATTCATGACTTCACTTAGTTGTAAGTATGCAAGGAACTGTTGGGTGGGGCAGGTGAACCACTGATTGTACCTCATTAACAGAAGCTTTTCAAACCTCTGGTCAGACAGTCTATTTCTTCTTGGCGTGAGTACCAAACCCCCCAGACTGAAGAGACGCTCCACAGGAGCACTGGATGGGGTTGGAGTGTTATACTTCATGAAGATCTTCTTGATGTTTGTAAACCGATGCAGGATCTGCAGATCATGGGATGAGCTCAGGTAGTTCATGACCTCCTTTTCTGCAGAGTAGGTCTCCTCTGGCTCTGCCTCAAAATTGAAGAAGTTCATCTCACCCTGGGTGACAGCTGTGTTGGCCACACTGGCAGAGCTCTGTATTGGAGGAGCAGTTGCGCGGCATTCTTCGGTTAGAAGCTGTTTGACTTGCTCCCTCCTATCGGCATCTCTCAGCCACCTGAGTTTGAATTTTGGGCAGCTCACAGCTGCTAGAAGGGCATCTCTGTCTTGCAGGAGATCACCAAACCGGGTCTTGACCGCCTGAAAAATAAAAATAAATTGCTATGTTTAGGATACGTGCAATAACCTGTCTGTCTGTGTTTCTGTTTCTCTTTTCATTTTTTTCTCTTTTGTGCTGTGATGTAAATATCCCATTTGTTTGTGTATGTGTATTTATTTATTTATTCATTTTTTTTTTTATTAAATAGCACACTGTTGAACATAATATTGGCATAAGTGAGCATTTTGACTCTCATTGTGAATGTGTATAGTGTTAAGTGGAATAGCTTAAACGTGGATCATACCTGCACTATAGCATCTGGAAGGCCTGCGGTCATGGTGGAAAGGGCATCTTTGACAGCCAGGGTCCTCTGCATCAGGACTTCCAGTGTTGGTAATAAAGTTCCATAAGGACAGTCTGCTTGGAGAATGTCCAGAGCCACAGTCAGGGGCTTTGTGGCCGTGCAGTATTCATTAAGGAATTGGTATTCTCTCTCTTTGAAGCATTTCACTCCCAGCTTTGTGCACAGAGTATTCAGCTCATTCATGGGGATTTCTGTAACCCTCTTCAAAGCATCAAAAAATGAGTTCCACCTAGTGGAGGTTGGTACCAGGAGCTTTCTTCTACTGACTTCCTCTACTGCCTCTGATGCGCTGGTGGACCTACTTGCTTTTGTCCAAAGAGCTGAGCATTTTGCTGTGCTGCTCCTGTAAACAACCTTAATGTCCGCATTAGATGTTAAATATTTTTCCACATCGCTTGTGGAAATTAGGTTGATTGTGTGGGAAGCACACCTGTGGTGTGGAGGAAGCACAATCTGCGCCTCGGCATCACTTTCATGTTCAGCTGACAAGAGTTCTGCCATAGGTAAAAACGTGACGTCATCATCGGGGTTTGGCTCTTCCTCCATCTCATCATCGCTAGACACAGCCTGGTAAACTCGAAACGCCTTAACAAAGTTCGAGCCGTTATCTGTCACTGTTGCAACCACCTTGTTCCCAATCCCATACGCCGAGTGGATGTCTTCAATTTCTTGTCCAATTACGTCATACGTGTGTCTCCCTCGCACTCTTCTGTATGCTAAAGCGGCCTTTTTACGTTCTAACGTGTCTTTACTAAGCCAGTGTAATGTCACCCCGATGTAACTTTTATTGTTAGCTGTCCAAATATCAGCTGTTGTTGACACAAAATCGACCTCATGTAGCGCAGCCTTCAGATTTTTTTCCATCGCTTCATATTGTTTGTCCAGGTAACTAGAAAAGCATGTTCTGTGAGGCAGCTCGGTATCATTACTGGTAGGGATCTTAGATATGATGGCTCGAAACGATGGTGAGTCAACAGTATTCACAGGCAGCATTTCCTCGACCACATAATGCCCAACCATCCTGTTCAACTCCGCCCCACTTACTGGTTTTACACCGAAATCCAGCTTCCTCTGCTTGCTGGGTCTGGGACCTCCTTCATCTGTGTCTTTTGCGGGTGGGACTTGCTCCGTCAGCTTCGTTGTGCTGTGCTGTTTCTCCAGATGTTTTTTTAGGTTTGATGTCGTGTTTTTGAATGTAGACAACACTCTGTCACCAGCGCAAAGTGTACAACGGACCTTAATGTTGTCATCCTTAACCGAAATAAATTCAAAATAATGCCTGTATTTCCAGCTGCTAAAGGCGGACTTCTCTCCTTCCATGTTCATTGTTCACATCACATCTGATCTGACGAGATAGAATCTTTGATCTGATTTTGGCGCCGCGGAACAGATATGACGTACCTCGTAAGAGATAGACAAAAAAAAAGAAAAGAAAAAATTTATGGTAGACCTAAACAACCCGCGCAGTAGTAACGCAAGGTGTTTTATAAAAGTAACTTTAATCTGACTACTAGTTTTGGAATTGTAGTTGCGTTAGATTACTCGTTATTGAAAAAAGTAGTCCGACTACAGTAATGCGTTACTAAGTAACGCGTTACCGGCAACACTGATCACAAAGAAGACAAAGAATGCTAGAAGGAATGATACACAGTGCCTGTCAAAAGTATTCATAAGATATGACATTTTACAACATTTTAGGGTTAGGATTTTGGGAGGGTTTTTATGGAATATACCAAGGAAAACGACAGACGGTTTTCAGCTTTATTTACGAAGATTAACTTTGAAACACATGCATTTGTATTCAATTCTCTAAGCCAATCTTTTAGTAGGGCCATCTTTGCATTCATTTGCGGTTCAAGGGTTGTTGTTTTTTTGTCTTTTAGTCTATCAAATGTAAAAAGTGGATTTTTCTTCTCCTGTTGTTTTTCAACAAGTAACTCAACAGCTGTCCATGTGCTGGAGAAAATTATACCCACAGCATTATGATACCTCTACCATGAGAAAGCATTAAAGCACATATCTTTACACTTTCTTTTTGTCCTCTCATCACCAGTCCATGTGCTGTGTTTCTTGATATTTATATAGCTACGTTTATTAATGTTCCAAAAGAAACATGTAAGGCTCTATTTGCACAAGATGATCTCAACAACAGGACATTATACCACCAAAATATTACATGTCAGGGTGGTGTGTTCAGAGTAATGTAAGGATCTTCCATCATTACTGAGATATTGCAAAGAAGGTGACAGGTTCAGTTTTCCATATGATGTTGTTTCCTCTACATGGCTTTTGGCAAAAAATACGTTACCACAAAAGTCAGATTTTTGGAGTGTAACACCATTATTTGTGTTTTTAACTGACTCTCCCACATGGGTTTTGAATCTTTGAAGCTTCTCCTCATAGTTATATTGTGGATCTTGACTGCGTTTGATCATTGCCCTGCTTCCCGGACCTGCAAGCTTGGTGCACACATGCATGTCTAATTAAGTTTGCCGTTTTGCCTTACCATACTCTGACCTGACTGTTAACATTCTTCTTGAGGATGTTTAGTTTGTTTACCAAGATGTAAAAAAAAATAATGTTAAAATTTTTTTCACTTTTTTCTTTTTCATTTGATTATGCACCACTTTAAAAAAGATATGATGATTTTCAGTTGTATCGGGTTAAAAGTAAAATATGTCATACAATATCCTGATATACCAAGACTTAATGTACATAATAGTGAGTTTTTGCATTTGCTCTAAGCCTTGAAAACATGATAATCTCTTCTAAATAAAACCAGTTTTAGAAGAATATAATCATTAAAGGGTTTGTGTGGATTTTATTTGAACATAAAGCATGCACATTGGAGATTTCACAAGTGTCTAGTTAATGAAGCCCCTGCAAATCAATATGTGCTCCCAAACCTTGCTGCTGAACAATGATTGTTTTTCCACTTTTGTGTGCTCACACCTGAATGAGGCTAAATGAGTATACTGCAGATGCGGAAGAGGACATGAAAAACTGCGACATATCACATCTCATGAATCTGATGGTAGTGTTTAAAACCAGCTCATTATTTGAAGCACCAAGGACAAAAGATATGCATAAAAATACTACATGGAGATAAAGGCATGAATATGGATATCTTTGCAATCCGACAGGTATTGATACCAGCTATTAACAAAACTATAACTTACCTCGGTTTCATTCACAGAGGCAAGAAATAATAGGAGAAAAAAACACCTAACTGTGAATTAAAATAATGTTTTTGCAGCTAGGTGACCTTGTGCATGAACTAAGAGTGTCTGTGTTTGTATATTGCAGTCTGGATGTTGAGAATAATTTGATCTTGGTTAATATATCCCAGCGGCACAGCACTAAAAGAGTGACATATTCACCATAATTTCACTTGCAACCACATCATCAGACATAGGTTGGAATGGGATTAGATCAGCTAATAAAACAAATGGGAATTATGTTTGACATCTTTGCCGCTTTGAGGGATAAAGGAGGAAGATGTGAGCCAGACTGCAGACCTCTGACTGATATGTTATCAACACATCAATGCATTTTCTGGGCTCTGGCTTTTATGACTAGAATTTAAATTCCCAAGCTTAATTGATTGTGGATATAAAGACTGATAAATAGTCCATAAAATGATTAACACAATTGCAGACATAAAAAAACAAACACTCACAATGAAAAAAAAAAACATATGATTCCAAGGCAGTCTCTTGGCTCATGATACCAGTGACAGATCTGGACTAAAGTTTCATCATGTATCATGCATGAATGTCAACTTGATTGGTTCAGACTGTACAAAAGTTAGTGTTCTTTTTAGAAAACTAAGACCATTGTTTATAAGTTCCAAATGTTGGTACTTTAAAGGGACAGATATTCTATCCATTTAGAATTTCACACTTTTTAAAGGCAGTCCTTTTCTTCTTTAGTTCACAGCCTGGATGTCTCTGAAACATTGCATTTTGTGTCCCTGCCTCTTTTTCCCCTGTTGCTCCATTTACACTATCCTTGTGAAACCATGTTGAGAACAGTCTGAACACAGTAACTGTGATAACTGTTGAGTGTAAATTAAATGCAACCTAACCGGACCGTGCCAGACACAACCTACTGTAACTGCGCTAAATCTAGTACTAGTTTAACATTAGGGTTTGGCATGCTTCAGTTGCGGCTCAGTTCTCTGATAACAAAGAGCAGATGAGCAGCCCGCGTCAACTCCTATTTACAGTCAGCTGACTCATTTCATGTGTTTTCCAGTGTGTCTGGCTTTGCAATTCACAGATCTTGTTCACAACACAAAATTCTTCTCAGCCTATTAACAATAAATGGCATAAAAAGAGCGTGGTGCAACCTGGGATGATGCAGATAATGAGGCTGTCATTGAACTTTGGGCAGAGGAAACTATCCAGGCACATAAGTTCCTAAATGAGTTTTCCTCTCCACTGTCGCTACATGCATGCTTGAGGGATTGCCTTAGAGTTAATGAGTTGATGCAGTCAGCTGTTTTTCCTGAGACAGAAAACTGTGAACCAATCTGACTGTATGATCTGGTTGAATTGTCTCTGTAAAGTGACTTAAGATGTCATGTGTTGTGAATTGGTGCAATACAAACTAACCTGAGATTTGCAAAGGAAATAGATACTCCCATTGCTCGAAGGTATGAGTCACATAAAGGTTTAAAAAGAAAGTCTATAGACTTTTTAGGAAAGTGGGAGGATTCTGTGTCTGACAACTAGTCTAGACTTCAAATTTAGTATAAACAGAGAAGTAATGAATACTATTACTCACAACCTTTGCTTATTAACTATAGCACTCTACCTTCAACAGCAATCAGAGCCCAAAGTCTTCTAGAATATGTTGACACTTGCCTGGTTCATCTATCTTAAGGTGGTTTGACCCTCTTCTTTGGAGTCAAGTCTGGACTCTGGCTTGGCCACTCAAATTAAAAAACTGGTTCTGAAGCCACTCCTTTGAGAGATTTGAAAGTGTGTGGTAAATAGAGAAATAATCTATGAACCACCAAAGCTTACCTACCTGTTTTTTTTTTAAGAGTTTAGCCTTAAATAATAATGCAACCTAACTTTGAAAGATAATAGAAAAAGCCTTGGTTAGATGTTAATGTAAAAATTCCTTTCGATCTGGTTAAATCCATATTAGTCTGTGTGCAGAGGAGCATAAATGTTTTTTCAATGTCAAAGAGCAGACTATGCGCGATGGCTTGCTTCTATTTTATTTTATTATTTTCATTTTTGTGAGGTCCTGCATCATTTTGAACATTGATTATTCTTCACGTTAGTTTGTGGGATGACTTGTGCCTATTAGAAATATGGGAGTTTTTATGTAAATTGTAATGACTTGTTGTACATTGCAGTAGTTGAGACTGACAGACAGTTCTATTCAGTATTGTATATCAGGCCCCAGAGCTTTTTGTTGTCATGGTCTTAGAGTCCTTCAAGTGGCCTTTGGTAAACTCCAGACAAACTGTGATGTGCCTTTTACTAGGGTTTGACTTTCATCTGGACACTACAATACAAACTCTTTTGTAGATTGTTCCAAATATCTATCTATCTATCTATCTATCTATCTATCTATCTATCTATCTATCTATCTATCTATCTATCTATCTATCTATCTATCTATCTATCTATCTGTCTGTCTGTCTGTCTGTCTGTCTGTCTGTCTGTCTGTCTGTCTGTCTGTCTGTCTGTCTGTCTGTCTGTCTGTCTGTCTGTCTGTATTTTCTTTCTCAGCCTGTGATGATTTACTGATGTAAAAGTAGTTTGTAAGCAGACACTGATCAACTGATTGGGCTGTCTTGCTTGTGCCCATACCTTTTTATGTGAAAGACACTCGAGCATATCTTATGCAGATTGTTAACCTGACATTCATTTTTCTTTCTCTTCAGCAAACCTGGCTGCTACCGATATTATCTTTTTGGTTTGCTGTGTCCCCTTCACTGCCACTCTCTATCCCCTCCCCGGATGGATCTTTGGCAATTTCATGTGCAAATTTGTTGCCTTTCTACAACAGGTAACAGACTGACTCATTCTCTTGTCTTTAATCCTAAATAATGTTTTATATTTATTCTAACCTGCTTGTTTTGCTTTAAATCAATTAATTCCAATGTTTAACTGGTGCGTTGGACGATTATTGATACACATCTTTTTAATGTGGGGATGGGGTTGATCAAACAATAAGTTATATGGTTATAATGACACAGCTCCAGTCTGGGTCTAAGGTGCTTGGAAAACAAGCAAGGTTAAATAGCCCAGTGCCCAGTGCTGGGAACCTCTTCAGGAAAAAGCCGTCAACGCATCTTACCAGTCCAACAGGTTAAACATTTTCCACATAATCTGATAGCATATGACTGCTCTACCTGGCAAAAAATGCTATGGTTCTAATCCAATAGCATTATGGGATTAGAACCATCAGTGATGGTTAAACTGCATTTAACTATCCATTCGCAAAGGTGGACATCATGCATCACTAGCTATAATCTTGAAGACGTTCATACCATCACTGACTATTGTTCATGAAAATGCTTTGACAACAGGAATTATTTTACTGGTTAAAACTTTTTCACTTGTCAACTGTAAAGTACAGCTTTTGCAACAAAATCAATAGTTGTTTAGGTTCACTTGTGATCATTACCTATTATGTAAGAATGGAGCACATAGAGGGACTACTGAAGAATAACTAAGCATTCTCTAAGCTTATCAGGGGCAGAGCTAGATGGGGGGCCAGGGGTGGCCATGGCCACCCTTAGCCAATCATTGGCCACCCCTGTTGCCACCCCTAACATTTTTTCCCCCTCTACTACAGATGATGGCAGCAGTGATACCTCTCAAGTGGAATGTTCAAAACATTTTAATATATCAACAATTATTTGACAAAAAACGCTGTGGTTAATTATGCACATCAATATACTTACATTAAAGATGATAAGTACAGAATTCATGCTTTTTTCAGAGTTACATTTTATGTTATATGGGGTAAAGAAGATTCGTCTTGGAGTCTTCAGTGAAATCATAGATAAATAAATATTTTAGTAAAAGCTTATTAAATAGTTAATTTATGTAGGTATTAATACTTGTAAATATCAGTTTTATGCATAATGATTATTAATAAAAGTAAGTAAGAAATGACAATGGAAAAGATGTTTGCCCCAGAACTCAAACCTAAAAGAATTTTATTCCATATACCATTTATCTAGAAAGCATGGATGTTTAAATATATTTTTGTATTTGTTTGCAAATGTCAAAAAAAGGACAGATGGACCCAGTATTTTATTTTTAATTTTTTTATATTTTTAATATTTTTTATTGGACCCAGTATTCAAGGTGAGACAGTCAGTAGGAAAGTTCAAAACGTTTATTAATATAAAAACATAAACAAACTGAAACTAAAGTGGAGCTACAACGACCTGCGACTCTTGGATTCTGCAGGAGGGGGGCTTGACACCGCCCAATCTCTGACACTCAACAGTCCAGTCCATCTCCCTGGAAATGGGCACAATCCAGCCGCTGGACTGAAGACAGACGCGGTATGGATTACTGAGTGTCCTTGGTGTAGCAGTCCTAGAGAACTTGCAGGAAGCCGATCCTGGACAGGGATTCAGAACAGGCAGAAACAGACAGAACAAGCAGGATCCAGGCTTCCAGGCATCCTAGAGCTCCCAGGCAGGTTAAGAATCCAGAAGCGTGACCAGGCGGATACGCACAGGAGCAGACAGGATCAGGTACAGAAGGGCAGGGACAGGACGAGACAGGACGTGTAACCAGAACTTAAGCAGGACCTTTAAACTGGTCTCCACCTTGGAGCCAGGCATCCTGGAATAAAAACTTAACCTCCCCGCGTAAAGAACAAAAGACCCTGAGGACTCAGCAGGGGAGGAACAGTGGACGAGCAGGAGACGAGACAGACAAAAAAACATCTTTCCTCTGGCTGCCAGGATCCAGAACATAAACCCTAGAATCAACAGGACTTAACAGAAAACAACATCTAATGATCTGGCCCTGATAGCTGGAACCGAGCCCAATATAAGGCAAACTGGCAGGTGGATGAGATGAATGATAATTAGGAGCTGGAAAGAGTGAAGCAGGTGAAAGGCATGAGTAATTAAGGCCAGCTACCACAGCAGATCATGACAGCAAAAGCTATGGGAAAGAATAGTTTGTCTTCATTTTAAAAATATGGATGTTTTGCTTGTTAATTTTCCCATTGGAACAGTGTAGAGTTACCCTGAGGTTCTGGTGCCTATCCACTTTCGGCCACCCCTCAGTTTGCATTAGTTATTACCTGGCCACCCTTATAAAAATGTTCGGGCTACACCTCTGAAGCTTATTGGTTGGAAGATGAAATGACTCTGGAGAACTTGGAGAGTCTGGAGAGGGAATGAGTCTCGGGAATCAAGAAGAGGAATGCTCAAGTGTAATTTCTTTCATTGCACTGAATATGTATGTAAAAACAAAAAAAAAACAAAAAACAATTAAAATATGTATCCAGATTAGTTTGAAGGCTTTTTGTAGACAACTTTACAGTTTTTAGTGAGTATATTATGTCATTTTAAGACTAAAAAAATCTCTTCAATTTGCAGGGATAGAATCTTTAAAGTATGGGGTAGAAGAATGATAGGGCTAAAAAAGTAAAACAAAATGCATAGACAATCATTTTCTTAAGTTGTCTTTTAGCAAATTGTTATGCATTGTTTTACATTTTAGGTTTGATAATAAATTGTTCAACTAAAAGATAAGTTGGCTAACTAAAATGTGTGTCATAGAAAATCATCTAAAAAAATACCCTGAATAAGGTCACTATTGCTATATACAAATGCCAGTTCAGAAATGTTAAGGGGGGCATAGTAGGTATGTATAAGGGTTATTGTTAAGTTAACAACTGATTTAAAAGAGTAATAACCTGTTATTCTACTTATACACAATAATAAAGTTACTAGTTACTTTTGATACCGCCTTTTTTACCCTCAAAAAAGTATGCGAGATCTTTTGTATTGTGTGTAAAAACGACAACAGTTCTTTATTTAGACAGGATTTTACTGTTCTCATTAAAAAAGTACATTTATTCATTATATTCAATAATTTAACAAAAGCATAATTCAGAACCACTTTGAACTAATAGGGTTTTAGCCAACATTTGATCTTGTTAGTAAATAAAGCTACAAGTACAAGCTGTGTTAGTCTTAAATAGAATCTTCATCAGCAGGGGTCTTAAATAGCTTTGGAATTAAGCACATTTGTGTTAATCTCTACTTTACTTATTTATGCAATAATGCAATTATCATAAGTATATGCAAAATGTACTCAAAGTTTGTTTCTATTAACTCACAAGAGTGACATAATACAATATCTGCAATACTTCTTATTCCAATCCATAGTTATTATGTTTTAGCAAACCCTATGAAATAAGAAAAAGGAAGATAAGTAGCTGCTTTCAAACTGACTGCAGTCTAAAAACTATCGATTTTATTTATATAAGGTGAAAATTAAAAGGCCGGTTACATGGAGACTGAGGGAGATACTGCCAGGACCAACAAAAAAAAAGCAAGCTAAGAGTTGACCACAGAAGAGATTCTACCTGGAGATATTATTATGAATGAGGAGCAGGTGGTTGATTGGTTACAGCGTCTAGCTGTGAGGAAAGAGAACAAACTGAAATCAAACTTAACAGGAGGAAATGGCTGGTTGACTATATATATAAGGACCCTTATGAGGAAAGACACAAAAGCCGGCAGGGCATAAAAGCTGGAAAAAACAAAAAATGCATACACATTTTTAGGATTCTAAAAAAATGGTTACAAAGAATCAGAAAGCAACAGCAAAGCATGCAGTAAATGGAAGACATGGGTGTCTGAGTCGGACCAAATTGCAAAGAGAAATTTTGAAGCTGCACAATGATTAGAGAATTAATGAAAATAAAGAAACTTCCCACATTGATAAACATGAACCAGACATGAATCTGTGTAATAAGGAAGACGACAGCATGGATCAATGAAACCCAAGAAGCTAAAGTACCGTGCAAAGGAAGACAAGTGGCCCTAAAGCCATGAGAGCTTAATCAGATAGATTTAGATCATCTCAGGGAGAGTGTAAACTCTGGTGATTAAGGTAAGGAGTGAAATTATCATAGCTGAGCTGAATTGAAAAACAAAAGATATGTTTATATAAAAAAGTGAAAAAGCTTAACTATCACAAGAAAAAAAAAATACAGAGAACAGATAAAAAGGCATTAGTATGACACAAAATACAATAAATGAATTAAATGGCAAGACCAAAATATTACATTCACAACCCGAATCTGAAAAAAAAATTAAAACAAATGACAAGAAAAAACATATTTCCCAATAATCCTTTGAAGTGTGGTTTTCATTTTGTGATAGCTTTTTCCTGTATTTTCTCCTTGCTTTTTTCTGTTAACTCTGCCATTGTGGGTTTACTACCTGATTTCCTCTCCTTGCGAATTTAGGACTCAGATACAGGTTAAGAGTTGAAGCATTTGATTTATTATTCAGTTTGCAAGTTTTTCATCCTTCTTTGATGCTTTTTTGTTGTTTTTTATGTTGTTATTTAAAGAAAAAAAGACAGGGGAAAATGAACCCTTAACAGTCTGTATCCAAGGAAAGCCCCCCGGAAAGTGGATCAGATGAGCCAACCAAACAGTAATAAATGTGCGACAGCAGCCCAACCCTAAACATGTCTGTCAAAGCGGAAGCCGAAAACAGATTGTCAGGTGCTTTCATGTTAGTAAAAAGCTACTTGTGTTATTTATTCTTTTCCATTCCTATTTCAAACAAAACAAACTGTTTTTAAGCCTGCTTTTGAGTCCTCCCTTTTCTGAGTTGTAAGACAGTATGAACTGGCCAACAATCGACTCAGCGGACTCCTACTCTGTTTTAAATGTCTTGGGTGGCCAGGGGAGATTGATCTACCAACAGGAATAGCAACTTGCTTTTTTACAAGTTAAAGGGCTGAATATACAACAAAGCAGTTCATGTCCGCTGTCACAGACCCATTAAG